ACCTAGAAGGGACAAAGTAAGAATGTTATCTAGGAGGCGTTGATTTCGAAGCAACTGATACGAGATCTTGCTCGTTGAAAGTGAGTACATCAGTCTCTGTTCAATAAATGAAGGCCACAACTGGTCAAAACCGTTGACAGAAGTCACAGAACGACAGTGTCTCCTGTCACTGAGCAGACGTTTTTGAAGGCAGTTTCTGTATTCTAGTACCGCCCCTGTAGGCGATGACGAGTCAGAAAAGGGATGTAGTGGCACACCTAGGCGCGGGTTCACGCCGCGCCAGCCACTAGCAAACGATCTTGCCTGCGGTTTTATTGACTCCGTCTTCACACCGGGCACACGATGGTGAGGAAGGAGAGGGCACGACAAGTCGCCGTCACTGCGTCAATGATTGTGGGGCACACAGTGGACATCGTCGGTAACGACTGTCGGTCCGTCAAGTCGCAAAGTGGCGGTCGGCGGAAGGTCTACCTAATTGTGGGAAACATTCGCTAAACTGTTTCACTTTGTGATCCTTAGAACGTACCGAGCTATCAGATTAAGGATAGCATACATCTGACGCTCGTGTGTCCTATGGTAAGTGCTAACTCGCCGAAATTTCAACCGCTAGGCTCGTCGGAGTCCTAACAGCCTGAATAAAAATTTCATATTCTGTGTATGTAGTGCAACCTTCGGCATGCAAACTTACCATGCCAACCGAAATCTTTCTAGCAAACCTTTGAAATTCAGTCAGACGTTGGATAAGGACGTTTTCAATGACTACGTCATGATCTACAGAACTCGCATTTGAGTACTGAATAATCGTTGTGGGCTAACTGCACTACGGCGACCGTCAAGTCAGGGAAGTTTACGAAACGCCGGGTCCTGACTGAGATCGAATGTCAGAGACCAGTTGGAATATCAAAGCATACTCGAACTGAATCCTCAACTGTGAAAAAGGCGCCTTCTGTGACTAACGGCTCACAGGCTGAATAAAGAGACAATGGCGAACGCGTCGGGACCAGGTCACTGCCAACTAGAACGAGTAATAATGACACCGTCATCCGGGGCGGTGCTACTGGCTTTCGGGGACATTCATGGCCCAGCCGTGAGACCTAAGTAACCACTATCAGACGCATGAACTGGTCATTTGACCAGTTGTGAACGTTAATGTTGCACTATCTCGGAACTTGTCTCTAAGAAAACGACTCATACTCGCTGGGGGAACACCGAACAGAGCCGGCCAATAAATATAACTGGATTACTTCGTGCGCCTTCTCTGATATCAGCCCCATGAGCATATTACTGTTACCGTCCGGTTGACCGTCAGCTTAGAATCTGGTTCGATAGGAACCGTCTAGATATCGGTATGCGGTTTTCGCCAGTAAAGGAATGAAGCGAAGGCGACTGACACAAAAAGCACTTTAGCGGCACTGTGCTGTGGACATCATCGAGAGCGCCCACATCAGTTACCAGAACAGGTGTGCGGAGAGATTGAAGAAGGGTTGGCAAAAAATGGGTGCGTGGAAAGAAAGGTGGGCAGCTAACCTTGGGAATATTGACACGCGACCAGAAGAGTTCGAGGTGTTCACGCAGCTTTTCCTGCTTGAACTTGGAGTACAGGATGGCCAGCTCTGTGAACATGCCCATATGGGCCCTCTCCAGGCCAAGGGCAGCCTCCAAGAGGAGGATGAGCTGCTGGAAGTGACCGCGCTGCTGGTAGTGGTTGATCAACTCCTCGAGCTCATCCGCATGCACCACAATGTGCAGACCACACATCTGGGCAAGGCGGAACTCGCCCTGCTCCACACAGGCGAAGCAGACTTCCTTCCAGGTGCGGGTGGAATTGGCTTTGCGGGCCGCCTCGACGGAACCCTGATACTCACCCAAGTGGACCAAGGTGATGGCCAGACGGGAGTAATTGCTCACGTTGTTATACAGAATTTTTGCGGCCTCAAACATACGCTCATCGAAGCAGCGATCTGCAACCTATAAGGAACAAAGGTCACATGTAACAATGGCGGTAGCACTGAAATGAACGGCCAGTCTAGAGTAATACTATTACAATGGGAGACGCAATGATGGTAGGTGTGATGCGCTTAAACACTCAAGAGGACAGCTGTCGTCTTGTACATCATGCTCCTTCGTCAGTCGACCCGATTCGTATGAGCAAAAGGGCTTAGGTTCGTTGGCGGATGCTGTATTTCGACTGTGCCAACGCACGGTCTAGTCGACAAAAACTGCTGAGACTACCCAACCCGCTGATAAGCTAAAGGTAGGGTTGCCTTTGAAACCCAAGCAGTGCACTCACTAGTACAACAAGGATATTCAAATTACTTATGAAGCCTAGAGACCGATTCTTGGCATTTTAACGTTGCGCATGGGTGCCTACGTCGAGGGCCTTTAAAAACTCAGCCGAGGTGTGGACTAAAGTGTAAGATATAAAGGATTTTACTCACTCGCTGTTTCCGGGCATCTTTTGGTTTGGGAGAATATCAACTTGCTGAACAAGACCAACAAAATCAAAAATTAGACCTAACCACTGAGCATCATTAGCGCAATTCGGTCTTGGGATTTCGCAATTCTGACCCAAAAAACGTTCGCAGCTACTCCCTAAAACAGGCTAATATACTGACCAAAAGTGAAAAAACCAACAACACTTATAGGGCATGAG